AACCACAATAGAGAGTGTCAACATTTAAATTATAATATCTTGTTCAATTCCTTTTATTTTTATTTTCAGAAGTCTGACATCATGTGAAAGCTCTTTTGTTTGCACTATGGATTGATGTCTTTACAGACAGTAAGACATGAATGTGAATCCTGTCTCTTGCAATCAATCTCCCACATACACTCAGGTGTGACATACAATTTACAATAACTTTCCTATTGCAACTTGAGCCATAATTTACATCAGAAACCCCTTTAAAGTACACCGTTGACAACATGACTAAGCATTTTTTCTTGTTTGTACACAATGACACAAGGACTTGTCATTCTGGTGGTACTGATGCGTCCATTGAGAAAGATTGGCTTTTGAGAGATTGATTAAGGAGTTTCGGATAGAAAATGACTTATGCAGGTTTTATGCTATACCTGTGATTTGTTTTGAGAAATGGACCCATGGTTTTGCAAATGTCAGGGATGATTCAAGAAATGTACCAAAGCTACTGAGAAATGCTGTAGCAATTACCGTTACAGCGAGTGGAAGTTTTTCTCTGTGTATTTAAATTAGATAAAAAGGTTGTTGAAGTTTATTAAATATACTTTTACATTTTATACAAAATCTAAAGCCTATTTAATGAAGAATAAAAAAAAAAATATTTCTCCCTAATCTTTTACTTCTGCCCCAGCTCTGGTAATAACAGTAAAAGTCTAATGGAAAATGTTCTGCTGCATTCCCGTGTGTGAATAAATTCAGAGTCACCTTGTTCCTAAAGGTCTCTGGGCTAAGGGAACAAATTAACCCTATAATCTGATCAAATCATAATATAGTCATTTAAGTAGAAGCAACCCAAGTAGGAGCTGTGTTATTGTATAGCCATCATTGTTATACATATGGTCTTTTCTCACCAATATTATAATGGCTTCTGTTTTCTGAATGGTATGGATTCAGACAAGACTTGGTAAGAATAGGCAGGGAATTAGTCACGTCTCAGTAGCCATACTTAATGTGATAACAGTAGGTAATCATCCTCTGCAGATATATAATTCACTATTAATAGCCCATCTGACTCTAATTTTAACCATGAGAAATGATTGGATTTCTAAGTCATTTTACAGGCTGCTCACATGCTCCATCTTTCCTACTCCCACCTTAACTTACTTTAAAGTGTTTGTGCCAATGGCCCAAATGTGTCACACCGAACAAGGCTTGCTGCAAATTTAGCCTGTCAATATGTGTCAGGCCTCATTCATCAGCTATAACTCTTCATCTGAGCTGTCCTTCTGCTTTCACATTTCACTACCGGGAGGCTTGACTGCTCCCTGAGCCTGCATAGTTCAATCCCACCCTGAGGTTTCCTGCTTCAAGGTTCAAAGCAAGGCAATGACAAGCAGTGTCCTTGCTATACCAAAGTACAGCAAGGGGAGACATGGAAATGGATCAGGGAGCAGACATGTTGCAGCAAACTGATTTTAAATCACATTACTGATGTTTGTGGCATGCTTGCCATGTGTTTGACATTACCTGCTCTTTTGAATAACTGAGAACCCTATACTCTTATGTGTTAGACGTCAATAGGCTGTCATACGGTCCAAAATTTTTTTTAAAAGCTCAAAAAACAATGTCCAAATAAATTCAAGTTAGGAAACCTGTTATACTGAATGGTCTTGATAATATAGTTAATAATCTATGTATAACTTTATTGAGTGTAATAAACTCATCTAAGCACCTGAAAGTTCACCCTGACACAAAATGTACAGATGGCTATTGAGGGAACTGCAGGATCAGGAGGAAACACCAGCAGCAGGGTCAGGAATCTTTTTATTTATTAATAAGTAGAGTCCAACAAATTTCCCCCAATTCTGAATTCCAACTTTGTATAAACAATATCCCTTTTCCACTAGCCAAAGAACCAGCGCAAAAATCTGGTTTTAGTAGCAGTGGGACCCGGGGTCAAATGACTCCACAAGCTTCATGCGTTAAAATTGCCTTCAAGCCGCTCAGCTCTGATCAGCATACAGTGAGAATATCAGACTCAGGTTGAACCCCTAATTTACGTGAAACTATTGAGCACAATGAACGGATGTCGACACACAGCGGCAGTTGCATCTGATTTTACAAGTCGAAACAACTCTGCTTACATTCCATAAACATGGTGCAGCGCTGTGAGGGATTTAAATAGATAAAATAAGAAAACAATAAAGAACAATTACTACGTATTAGCTTCCTTCTGTATGGCTCTCCATTGTTTACTTTCCTGATTTCTGTCGCACTGGTGACATCAGTGGTGGGATATGCAGCAGTGGGTGGATAGAGGCCCCGCAGTGTGCCAGCAGGGGTCAGACCCAGCTTTTTTGCCAATGGGAAGGGAGTCAAATGCAGATTTTTAACGTTGGCTAACCCAACAATTGTAGTGGTAAAGAGGCTTAACACTGAGTATAAAAACCCTGCCCTGTGAAGGCCTTTGAGGTTTGCTAGAGAAGCCTAGAGAACAACATATGAAAGAGCAGATAATACCACAGACAGGTCATTAATGAAGGTGTGGTGATATTAAAATCAATATTAGATTAAAATGCTTTATAGCCAAGTAGGGTTTTACACACATGAGGATTTTTATTTTTTTTTTTCTGAATGAAGTGTTGCACCTAGGCAAGTAATCTTACTGCTGACATATTTGAATATGCCAAATATCGCTTTTCAATTACCAGCAAACTTTCCATGATATAGCTGTTTACCTTCACCAGCAGGCTGGCCAACAGGAGATCATTAATCTGAGAAACGGTGCATGGTAGGTCTGAAGGAGCTGTAGAGACCCAGCATGTAACCCTCCACAAACTGGTCTTTATAGAAGATTGGCAAGAAGGTAATTGCTGTGAAAGAAACCCATAAGGGAAGTCCCATTTGCCACTAGAGATGTGTGGATATGAGTGAATATGTGACTGGAATTGCTATTTTAAGATGGACTGCATACAAACTGTTATGTGTGAGTGATGTAAAATATTAAAATGCACTTTTTCAAGGGCACATTTTCCCAAAGTGAAACATGGCAATGGCAGCATCATGCGCTTAATAGACTTTTCATCCGGGACACGGAAGTTTGTCAGAGTTCAAAACCTATTGACAATAAGGATATTGACAACTGAGGATATTGACACTTATTTCACTTAATATTTGAAATCAAAGCATATTCAATTGCCAGAATGACATAATCAAAATCCAGACCTAAATTCAGCTGAGACATAGTTCATAGATGCTCTCTAACCCATCTCATTATAAGCCTTCTTCAAATCGTATTGCCCAAAAATAATTGTCAAATTATTTTTTTTACAACTGCAGCAAAAGGCTGTTTTTCCCAAAGTAATTAAAGCTGTAATTACACATCAAGGGCACACTGTACCGATACCCAGTCATGTCACAATATATAATTTTCTGTTGAGTTGGTCCAAATACATCAGTTTGTTAAGAATTTTTGCATGACATTGTCTGCTCCAGTGCCATAGTTTCAATATGCCTTAGTAAACATTCTGTATCTGTGCTTTGGTAGGGATTAAATATTTTTTAGTCCGTTTTTATAATTCAAGATATGCTTTTGTTTTTTATGTGTGGTGGGCATTGACAATTAATTCTTTCTACCCCTTCATTTCTAAGCTTACAGCTAAAGGATAGCTGCACATCATTGCTTTAAGTTTTGGTCTTTGAGTTTAGGTACATGACTAAGAATAAATTTGATATTTGGCTTTTGAATTTCATAAAAAAGCAGACAGAACATGGAAATTTGCTTTATAGAAACTGTGTGCAGTTTTATAATCCATGCCTTTAAAACAAGGAGGTAGTTTGATGTAAAATTCTGCATGCTCTGCCGCTTCCTCTTTGTCTGTTCTCTGACATCAGTGGCAGAAATTTGATTAACTGTTGCACCTATGTGGAAAGGTTTGTGTTGTTTTTTTTTTTTTTTTTGTTATTCATTTTCTACCCCTTTCTGTTCTACTCAGGGATTATTTTCCAGGTACAAGATGGAATGCTTTTTCTGTAATTAGTTGGTTTGGTCTGCTCTTTTATTTTCTCCTCTTGTTTTTTATAGTGTTGTTGTCTTTTCATAGAATGCACCGCATAATTGTAGGTGCATTGCACTGCCTGCCAGCCTTGAAGTTATAATGAGGTCTCTGTGAAGACAACAGAGAATCACAGGCTATTTTATCCTATTTTCTGGATGGAAGGGTGTGGGGAGATGGCATGGTGGGAGCTTTGTTTGTATTGAAACTGACAGAGGAAGACAGATTTAGAAGAATAAAGTAATGAGTCTTCTGAATATCCTATACCAGGCATATTTTAGCTGTGACATTCATTTAGACAACAAAATGGATATGAAGTAAATGCGCCCCCCTCCCTTTCCCATCCTTTGAAAACATCTGAAACAGGATATTGCTGGTTTTGAAGTCTACTGATCATAAGCATAGTGTTTTATAGAAAGTGAAACTGCTTATCAGAAAGTATTAAACTGGTTTTATCAGAAAAAGAAGAACAATAAAACAGTGTTTACATTTTTTATAGTGGTGGATCCTGTTGTCAAGGGGCATCTTCTTGTTAATATATATTGCTTTTTTGTTGACAACCTGCGCTTCAGTCACCAAACAATGTTATCATACCTGTCTGTAGTTAAATGCTTGGGACCATTCTCATGATTTAGCATGGTTGTGTTTATTTTAGGGCCCGCCACATTTAATAGCTCCAAAACACCTGCCAGTTGTCTGACAGTGCAGGAGTCATCAGACATGCTTCATTTCGTGACATACTGTAAATACCAGTTAATGGTCCTTTACTGCTCTGGAGCATGTGTTGAAAAATTACCTCCATGCATAGTCGATCTCATTTTACCTGACCTTCAGGTTTTGTCACAAACATGATGGATGTCCTATGGGTTCGATGTCAAACAGTTAAAAATGAACATTATAGATTTAGCTGTATATGATAAAGATGTTGCAAACTCATGTTATTATCTACCCACACAGGGGGATGATGGCCTGGCTGAAAACTCAGAGCTGCCTGTAAGTTCACTCTGCTTCATTTACATCTCATTATATTGGTCTGTAAAGTATGTAAGGTCATTCAGCACAACGTATAAGGTTTTAATATACACAGCAGCATATAACCTGAAATGGCTAGATGGAGCTTTGTAAATATCATGGCACTTTGGCCGATCAGGCTGCAGGGGGAATTAAAACGTCTGGGCTAAGTGATGGGAAGTGAGGCGCTCAGCTGAGGAGGCTGTGTGTCACATTAACATCTTCTGGGTAGGTTTCAAACGAGGAGCAGATAGGAAAGGGGCCTCAGAGGGCCTTTTCATTCGGGCCAAAAAGGATAGGGATGAGCAGCCAGGTGGGTAAAAGTGCAGCTCCATGCCTCAGGGTGAGGGGTGTGGATGACAGGGCTTTGGACACTGGCTGTTTCCTACATGGTCAGGATATGCTCTGGGCTAGTGCATCCCCCTGAACACCTTTTCTGGGGGGAATTACAATAATATAGAATTTAGAATTGCATATGCAATTTCTCATAAAAATTTAACAGACATAGATTACTCTGTAAACAAACATTAAAGCAATTTCGAAGAGCATACGCTGGCTTTAGTTAAACTTGAATTCGCTGCATTATAGCGTTTTACCCCCATCAGTGCTTTTGCCATCAGTGCCATCAGTGCCATCAGTGCATTGAGATTGATTTAATATATCAAAAAAGCTCTGTGTATTTAGGAAGTAGAAGAAAAGTACCTGGTTTTCAATTTTTTTACAACAAAAATACGAAGCTAAATACATTTGTATTCACCTCTCCAATGTCATCCATAGGCAAAAAACCTGTTGTTGTTTTTCATGCATCTCTGAAAAGCATTTTCAGGTTTTGCCACATAATGTGGATCTGAACTGGGCAGTTATGAAACTTGAAAATGATTTGATCTAAAGCATGGCTCTACAGTATGTTTAATGTAGACTTCAGTATTTATGCCTTATAGCTTTTCTCTTTGGGCTGCAGTGTATTTTATCCCATTTTGATATTAAGTCTAAACCAGCTCCCCTCAATCCTCAAGAAACACCCTTGAGCAGCATGATAATATAAACACTATTTTTCACCATTGGGATACTGTAGTTGGGGAGAGACTGTTACTTTTTGTTTTTTGTAGGATTTATAAATATTTCATTAGATGTTAAAAGCTTATGATATTATTCTAATAACTGTTTTATAATTATTTGACTTCTAAGGGGAATAGGTTAAATTAGGAGGTATCAGGGAACTAAATATACTGTTCAGATTCCACATTGTTCAGATTTGTATTGAAAAAAGCATAGTCAAAAATCACAATCATGCATTACTTTGTGTCGGGAAAATATCCTAATAGAATATATTGAACAGATGGTTGTAATGTGAATTCTATTTGAGATATAACATTATGAAGCAATGTAGCTATTTCTGCAAGGTACTGGATATACATCCCAATGCTCTAAACACATTTAACAAATATGTGGACAGAAATGCAAAGGCACATCCTCTCAATGGATTCTGACCAGAGAGTTGAGGCCTGCTGCAGATTAAAGGTGTTCTGTGGGTGGGTAGTTAATTATGTGCACATCATGAGGGGATCAGCCTGCCAGTTTAAATCAATACTGCAGGGATACATAAAAAAAAAAACAGTCCCTCTGCTGCTGGGTTGCCTCTTTTATGTCGCCAAAATGCTTACGATTCCCACAGACTTCTGCCACCATTCATTAGCTACACTCTCATGCTAATTTTATTTAACAAGCAAAGTAACAAGTATTCCCTGACAGGCAAACACACATTTAGCTAACTTGCTCACATTACGGCTGTAAATGAGATGGTGAGCCTAAGCAGAAAATGTTGGAGGTAGGCTATTAAAATGCTGACTTGCTGTTAGTGCATTCGTATTGTATTGCTTGTTACTTGAGGTCAAATTGTGCTCACAGCCCAACCAAAGAACATGATAATTTATTAACAGAGCAACTGTAGAAAGACTGAAGCATATTTAATTTAAGACATCACAGGTCACGGCTGTCTCTTCCTTTATAGATGAATCCGCAAAATCATTTGGATTGTCAGCCAGCTAGTGTAGTTATTTTTTTCTTTTTCTTCCCTGTTACTTTGCATAAGGAAAGTGCCTAACACGAAATCTCCATTTTATAACTGCCTGAGGAAAATCTGTGAGTGAGGTTTGGATGCAAACTGTAGGAAGTCAGAAATTATTTAGCAAAACTAAAAGACATGCAGTTCATGGCCTTGTATTTACTCTGAAGCCTGGGGGGTGGATGACACCCCATATCTTCTTAAAACAATACTTAAAAAGGTATAAGAACAGATTGTTAAAGACAATGTTCTCTTCAGATCATCAAGAAAAAATTGTTATTGTTAATGAATTATGAGAGTTATTAATTCTTGTTTTTCACATTTGCTTGCGTTTTAGGGCAGAAATGAATGCCTCAAAGGAGATCAGGGAATTTATTTAAGATTTTATCTTAATCCAGCTTCTATTTTCCCCAAAGCATGATGATGCCACCTCCATTTTTCACAATGAAAAGGGTACATTTATCATCCAAGAAGGATTGTAGCCATTAGGATTTAATTTTGTTTTTAATTGACCATAGCACCTCCGTGTTTGCTGTGACACCTACCTAGCTTGTTGGAAACGTTAATCTTAATTTTCTTAGTTCATATAGCTAACAGTAGTTTGGTAAGCAGTCGCCCATCTGAGTTTTGAATTTCTACAACTCCTCCAGAGTAACCATTTGCCTCTTGGCTTCATATAGTTTTTTTTAGCCATGTTCTGGAACATTTGCTGCAGGGGCTCTGAAAGACATAAAGTTGCATTGGGGCACATTGGATTTGCTGAGGGATTTATTGACACAAAAGTCACTTATTTGAAGATAATATCTTGTTTCTTTGGAAGTGCTAGCATATTTTTGCCAGAAAACCGGTCTCTCTCAGTCATGTCAGTCTGATCAATAACACTGTTAAATCTGTATTGATGTTTTTTTAACAAATTAAAATACTATTCAAAGTTACTGTAATAGTACTGAAAGCATATCTTCATCCCCAATTTTATATATATATATATATATATATATATATATATATATATATATATATATATATATATATATATATATATATATATATATATATAGCTATGTTCATATAATAGCATTTCTCACTGAAACAAATAATGACAACCCTATATTACAGACTACAGGCAGAGTTGGTCTCTGGTAGAGTCTCTATTTTTTTCAAGGGATAAAATAAACTTTTTTGGCCTTTGAAATAGATCTCTTATTTTGATAATAATTATTATTTTAAAGTTTTCACTATTAACAATAATTACTCATATCTGAATTTACTTTTGTGAAAAAGATACTCTCACCTACCTTGATCAGTCTGGTGACAGGGCATCATTAGATGCCCTGAAATGCAGGGAAATTGTATCTTCATACAAGTTTTCCAGCAATGCTCAAGGCAACACTAGTCTTTTAATCCTTTAAATAAAAAGGCCACATTTTTCCAAACTAATATGCTTTTTCAGCATTTTTTTTCATTTGATGGACTAGCCTGCCCAGCAGCAATGCCTAAAGCGTTACCAATGTTAAACCTTGTTTTGCTAATTTTTTGTTATTTTTTGGGTTAAATTTGAGAAAGGTACTGTAAGAAGAAATGTAAGAAGAAGCCATTTGTCATCTGTATTGCAGTGCTATGAGGATCTGGCAATGCCTGAGCTCTCATGTGACTTAAACCTACTATTTTTATTGGTTCCAAAACCTTCCATGTCAACATTGCATTATAACTAGTAGTAAATATTTATGTACTTTGGACCCTTCAAAAAGAAATGTTGATATACTACGGTATATGTTTTCATTAAAATTAATGGTTTAATTCTGCACTCTTCTAAACATTAGGTGGATGTATTTTTCTTTTTAGTGAACTGTTTTGATGAAAAGGTTTTAGCTAAGACCTTTAGAGAAATTAGATTCGACATAAGAAATTTAGGGAACAACATTGCACTTTTAACCGTAATGACTTTTCCAACAAAAATATAGTCTTCTTATATTGATATATTTTCATCCAATGACTCAAACCTTATTTTAAAATGAGCTCTTTGGGAGCTTTGTTTCTTTAAGTTTTCTAATATTTTGCTGAAATTTTATTGCAAAAAACAAAAAGCTCAAATCATCTACAGCCACAGAAAAAAGTCTGGTGACACAAATGGTTTGCAGTTGAGCCATATCCTTTTTTTTTATTTAATTCTTTAGAAAATGTATCAAACTATGATTAATGAGGCAGTCAAAGCTTTAGAGAGTGTTTAATAATGTCAAAATTAAGGCTTTACTACATTTTTTTTCCTGACTGAGTTGGTGTTTTCTTTAGTCTTTATATTACTGTTCTTATTGATCAAAAGACTTTAGGGCAGTTGTTAAAGATCTGAACTGGATCAAGATTCAGGTAATATATAAACCATTTTTCCATCACTTGGCCTCATAAATATACATTGCTTTGTGCAGACGTGCCACTTAAAGTTCTGATAAATTTAATGAATATACGAAGTTGTGAAAAGCCAAGATGGGAACAATTTTTAGTGGTATAAATACAAATGCAGTTTTCCTTAGTTTTCACACATAGGTTTGAAATTATGCTTAATTTCTTGCCAACAAAAAAATCATTATATAACTTTTTCAGGGCCCTCGAGGAGAAAAAGGAGAAAAGGTAAGGCATGGTTAAAGCTTTTGATAATACACTCACTTGTTTTTCTTGCTGATCCAAGTTAACGCAAAATGTTCTTTCTCTAAGTCAAGCACAACTATTAGACTGGATAAGGAACTGTTGAAGCACCATATACACTCACTCGAACAAGAACATCAACTTAGAATATATTTTGATTAGCTTGCTAATAGTTTCTTATCAGGATACTTTGCAGAGTAATGGAATGAAGCCCCGATCAACTGAGGCTGCAAATTGCCTATTAAGGAGATATTGGAGAAGTTACCTAGAAGCTATTCAAGTATCGAAACTGCAGCTTTACATACTCCTTCCCACCTATACATTTAATTTAAATTAAGCTAATTCTTTTGTTCGCAGTTGAACTTATCCGCATCTTATTACTGCTCCTCTGGTCTGTTGACATGTGGATCAGACATCAGCCTGGATCAGATTTTACAAGACACTAAACAAAGTCTTTCCAGTACTAAATATAGTATCTAATTCTATATAATGCGTGTCCTCTCCCCAGGGATCAGCTGGAGAGCCGGGTCATCCAGGCAAAGAGGGCAAAAGGGTGAGTAAACATAGACAGTTAACCAGTTGTGTGGCCTGGGTTGATCCTGCACTGACTGAGTGGCCTTAGCCTGCAGGAACAGCAATTGAGAAGCTGTTGTTTTTTTGTTTTTTCTTGATGACCCTTCATGGCAGTGGGCCCAAATAAAAGGAGGAGTCTCTTAAAGCATGCTGTATGACAATTAATGAATGGGATCCATGGCCAAAGGGTCATGCACACACTCGCAGTATGACTGGCAGCACACATGGTGATGTCTCAGCGGGCAGCTGTGTTGGACGGTATTAAGTTTCTGAAAGCTTGATTTGGAATAGACACAATGTCCGTGAGTGATTCAATGGCTATATAATACCATGTTTATTTATTTGTCATATTCGATTGTAGTAAAATGTGGTCAAGAAAAAACGTGTCTGGAGTGTTAAATGATTTTTAAATAACAAACACAGGGACTCAGCTCTGCAACCTAGACTTCCGTTGCATTTGTGTTGCAAAGTCTTTAAACTGGGCTCCAAGTCCTTCATTAAAGGCTTGCGACTCATCTCAGACTCTTGGACTTAAGTGTTATTAACAGTCTTTACTCCATATAGGTATGAGTTAGGCAAGCAGTGTTGAAAGTAGTTTTAAAATCTCCCCAGCACTATTACAAAAAGCTAATTGGCTCATATTATTCTCTCCCTCCTTACAATTATAAAGTCCAAATTGAATAATTAAAATTATTCTTAACTAATTCAGTAATAGACATTTCAATGTTGAACTTTAGGCTAACTGTATAAAAGAGTGAAAAAAAAATTTTTAGATATAAATACACTAGAAAAAGAGTTGAGGAGCGCAGACCTCCACCAAGCAGCAAACTTTGCCACCTATGGCAAAAACTTGCACATGATCTGGATCATTACCGAAATCTTTATAAATCGTTCCTCTGCATGAGCTGCACCTTTGTTAACGATTTCCTGTCCTTTCACAAGGTAACTAATGAGGCACAGCGTGTGTCTGCAGCCTCTGGTGTTTGTTCTGCTTTCACCTTCTCCATTCACTCTGCTTTCATCTTTAATCAGCCGATCAAACTTCGATCGAGGCGTGGCTCACCTTTCATTTGTTTCTGTCTTTTGAGCATTTACTTTTAAGTCCAATGCTGAAGCTGTCAATAATCAGTGCTGCCACTATCAGGTTTAGGGAGGAACTGCTTGTTTCACCAAAAAATGGGTGGGGAAAGGTAAGGAGCTCGGCCATCTCTCTACTCCTTCTCTTTCTTTCCTTACTCTCTATCTCTGTTTCTGTATATCTATCTGAAATCATCAACAGGGCATTAAAGTGGCAATCCCAGATTTTGTGCTGCTGCTGAAGATACAGTTCTGATCTATTAATAACTAATCTTTGATGCGCTAAGGTTTATGCTTATTCTTAGCTTCACGAGTCATAAGGAGTCCAAGTTGTTGAACAGTGTATGTTTCTGCAGTCAACCTATTTTAGGTAGGGTGGGACATGTGTCATTATCGGAGCTTCAGCCAATAAGCAATTCTGTACCATGACAGCATCTTATTGGTTTTACAAAGAGCTATGGCTGCTTTACAAATGATGCAGAATGTCTTTATACAGAAGGACTGCTCTATATCCTTCACGGAATAGCCAGGAGTGAAAAGCTTTCACAAAGTCTTAGATTCAAGCCTTACCATCTCTCAAACTGTCCACTTTAATTTATTGTTGAAGAAAATACAACCACTCTAAGCCATCTAGATTTACTTCAAGGAGATGTGGAGGACATTGTAGTTGGGAGAAGAGGAATGATGCCATTTGCACTGATCCTTTTCCAAAGCTTAAAGCAACATATGAAACAGAGAATATCAAGGGTAATCACCCAAACCCATCTGAAGCCCCGTCCCTAATATCCTCAGAATCTTGATCTTGTCTTATTACCATGATCAATGTCTGGTCAAGTTTGTCAGGTTGACAACCATGACAAGAAATTAATGAGAGTGTGTTACCACATTGCACATTGCCATTAGTGATAATGTGAATATGCTTGGTTCTGTCTAATCTAGGCAGCATTGACACAGACTGGAAGGCCAAGAGTAGGACTCTGGGATTCAGAAGCCCATTATAGCCAATCAAAAAGGAAGATGGGGATCGCTGGTAAAAATGATATGTCCCCTGTGCTGTCTATAGCGAGCTGAAATATTCATCACACTCAGTAATGATGTTCTAAGCTCTGTGTTGTCATTGTACGCTGGCTCTGCTCCATACTGATGGTGGAGGTGAAAGACAAGCATGCTAAATAGTTTTTTGTTTAGTCACATGGAAAGCTGAGAATTAAGTATGCTCATGCAGAGTGAATGGCAGAGAAGTGCCTGTCTGCATCACAACAATGTGAGCATATGTAATAAAACTCCCCACACATACAGAAGTGATGTGCATTTAGTGTCAGGGAGCATTAGAAAAGTGACAAATTACATAATTTTGCTTGCCTAAAATAGGACTGAAACCTACACAGTGCACACACCGTTTCCTTAACGCTGAAGAACATGGGAACGCCACTACGGGCTTGGCTTATTCATGTTGTGCCAAGACTTCCCAGCATACCCTGCTTCTGTAGCCTGCATAAAGCTGTGAGTGGGTTTAGTACAAGCACAGGGATCATACTGTTAGCAGGTTCCGTCTGGATCATGAATTACTTTGAAAATTCCTTTTAACAGAGCAGGTCTTATAGGATTAATCCATATCTAGCATCTCATTAAGATGTATTTGTTGCTCAGGCTTCCATATACAGAAAAGTAATTCTTGTGAAAGTAAATATCTGAAACAAAATTAAGAAAAGTTGTAAGCTGTTTTTATTCATCCCTGTGTTTTATGGGTGCTTGATTAGATTTGCCATGTTGGTTATACAGTTCTTAGTGATTATGGATGGTGGACTCTGTCTTGTGGGAATCATTTTAACTTAGATTAAATTGACTTTGAACCTGTTAAAGACTGATTAATCTGCATTAGGGTTTTTTTTAAACTTCAAATCTGATACCCAAAAACAGAAGTTACAGGACGGTTAGTTATAAGCAAATCCCTTTAGGTGAACTAGCATATAATTCACAAGCAAAGACAATCCCACTTTATATCAAAATTGTGACCCACTTTAGCTTTCATTTTCTGCTTGCAAACTGCAATAAGAATTTTTTTTTACTTTAATTATTCTTCATGGAAAAATACAGTATCTTTAAAACATGGATACATAAATAAAACTGTAAATAAATGGAGCTTAAAGTGCAGCTAGGGACTGTAACATTAAAAGTGGGATAGTTACATATACCTATGGAGGTTTTAATAATAGCAACGTATGTCCAAGGTAAGTTTGTCTGCTTTTAGTGATCTTCCTTAAACTGTGGCTCTATAAAATTCAACTTGTCTTTTTTTTCCCTTGTCAAAGTCCAACTATGTCTAACCTAATTGAGCAACTGATAATATGGTCGGGTATTATTTCTAAAAATGTTCAGTGGGAACATAAATGAATATAATTTTTTTTTGTTCAATTTTAATTCTGTGTAAATCTATTACACCTCTCCCAGTTAGATTGTTCACATCTAATCAGAAATTAAAGATGTTTTTTTTTCTTACATAGCCACAGATATGGTGTCCCTCTTGAAGTTTCTAAATAGTTTGTTTATTTTGCTCAATCTTGCATTAACTTGATTTGAATAATCTGCAATATTTGGGGGCCTAAACTTCTAGTTTTTACTTCTGTCAAGTCTGACATTTGGCTAAAAGGTCATAGTTCAATGAATATCTCTAATCTGAGGGTGTCACAGTCTTGGTTCTGTTATGTTTTCTTTTGAGTATTCAGTTTTACTTTGCTCCACGTTTTCTAGTTTTAGTGGTTTAATTCTTATTTTGTTATGTTTTCTGGTTATTTTTCAGTTTTCAGGTTTTTATTTGTTGCCCTCTGCTGCCCTCTTGTGTTCTCCTTTTCCCTAGCTCCTTTCCTGTTTGCTCTGTTCACACCTGCTCTCAATCTGCTCATTAGTCATTTTTGTTCAGTCTCCCATAAATACACTCCTTATGCAGGTCCTCAGTGCTGGTTCCTCGGCAAACTTCGACCTACACCGTCTTACGGTGTCTTACCTCATCATGACTGTTTTCCCCTGATGTCCCCATTGTTTCTGGTTTGTTGAACTTTTTTCTTGTTGTTTCTTTGGGGGGATTTTTGGATCCCTGTCTCAGTTATTCATTTCCCTTGCATTAAATCTACAAAAACTCACCTCTGCCCCCCTGCCTCTGCATTTGGGTCCATAAACCTCAACCCAATCCTGACAGAGGGTTTTTGCACAGTGACATGTTTCTGACTTTCATCATGGCTAACACTAACTTGCTTCCTTATTATATGTTCTATATAATTTGATGGGTAAGACTCACAGACAGTGCTGATTCATAAACTGAACACTTTCCTAAATTGTAAGCATTAATGACCAGTGTTATAACAAAGGAATATGCGTAAGTTAGGTTTCTAAAGCTTCTCTTTTACAATTCTCTTATTTGTTTAAATTAAAACCCAGGTTTTTTAGAACAAATCCACAATTTACCAAATTTCTTTGTATTCCATGTTTTCTGGATCTATTTTTTGAAAAATCAAAGTGACCATGGTCTATACTGACTTTCCCTTTCAATCAGGATATGGATCTGACTCCATAATCTGAGAATAGCAGATTTATATGTTAATTGTTTTTCAGAAATTAATTTCTAGAATTTTGAGTCTTTGAAACCTTGTTCTTAAGTTTTCCTCTTCATTAAGGTGTTTTAAAAGACTCAATCTTTGGATAATGTTTATTTCCTGCAGATGTGCACTACTAGAGAGAACAGCCAATCACAGAAGGAAGGGGCTTCTCTTCTTCTCCTCTTATATTCACTTCCTACTATATTCATATTTTATTAACATCCCATTTCTGTTGTGTTTTGACTTTTTTTCAATAAAGAATAAACAGTTGGTAAATAAATGGATTTTTTTTGGCGAGTGACTGCTTGGT